AAATCATCCAGCACATGTATCCAACAGCAATGTTCGCAGACTCACGAACAGTGCTGTGTATTTCCGTCTTCTTTCGNCACAATCATCCAGCACATGTATCCAACAGCAATGTTCGCAGACTCACGAACAGTGCTGTGTATTTCCGTCTTCTTTCCGTGCGTGCATGTCTGGGTGTTAATCGACCGCACGGCGGTGGCGTGCACCAACAACCGTCAACGTCCAATTCGGTCGACTCGGTCCAGGCTCAATGCCTCGCGTCGTCACCAACACTGTAGAGTAGAGGTAGATGTTATCTTTACGATAGAATTGTGGTGTAGCTCAATTGACAATACAGATAAGAGTCCTACAGGTGTTTTACGCGGGAGTGAAGAGGCTGCATGCTGCGTAGGTCTGTCTCAGGAATCCTCAGAACAGTATCGATCATGCATGAATGACCTTTTGAGCACATTATTAGGTATTCGATCGTACATCGTGTGAATTTGGCGATGAGGCAACACAGCAGTTACTTCGTCTCGATTCAACACTAACGCGTCGGTTTCCGCAGAAAAATGCGAATCGACACCTAGCTACATTATGAGAGGAATAAAGTCGGGATAAACCAAACATAATCTTGGGAACACTCTCATCTCTTCACGGAAAGTGGTGGCCCCGCCCCGCCCCCCTCGCCCCCTCCCTCGCAAGGACTCGAATGCCACACCAGAATACGGGTTCCGACCTCTACATCTGAACACGACACGCTCGTTTACTTCCCCTGTGTAGCAGCAACGTGTACCCCGGAAGTTCCTTGTCAGCAGAGANATTATGAGAGGAATAAAGTCGGGATAAACCAAACATAATCTTGGGAACACTCTCATCTCTTCACGGAAAGTGGTGGCCCCGCCCCGCCCCCCTCGCCCCCTCCCTCGCAAGGACTCGAATGCCACACCAGAATACGGGTTCCGACCTCTACATCTGAACACGACACGCTCGTTTACTTCCCCTGTGTAGCAGCAACGTGTACCCCGGAAGTTCCTAGTCAGCAGAGGGTGTGTGCTACAAATCAACGATGCAAAGCGAAAGGGTAAGCACACTCGCTTGCGCCTTGCATTGAACTTAACCAACGTACCGCATGGAACACGAAAGCCAAAGAAAGAAAGACGAAAGTATCAAAGATCCTAAAAACCTCCCTGCCCACCATTATTCATCATCGTCATCACCCATTTGGTCGTCGGCTAGATGAATGTAAAGGCCCGCGATCCCCGATTCTTGACCGGGAAGTGCACGGCACGAAAATAAAATATCGCGTAGTACATGGCACGTAAAAAACGGCAACACACGTCGTCATTCGGCGGGCGGCACTCGGCGTGTCAAACTGATCACCATGCCCCCGACCGTGACCGATCCGCCCGCACGCCCACCCTGTGACGAAGAGGGAGTCGCTGTGGCACCCCCCCTGCGACAGAGACGGAGCCGCCGTGGTTCCGGATGCAGCCGGGCCGAGTTCAGAAACTCGCGTGTTGAACGACGACGAAGCGTACTTGTCCCCGCGCCCCGCGATCCTCTTGAACTTTTTCGGCCCGAGTTTCTTGGGAGCGCCGGCCTGACCATCAACGGGGAGAGGAGGTAGCAGGGTGTCAACTTCCTCCAGCGTGGACGCCACAGGCAGCATGACCTGGTACGCGTCGTCGCCGTAGGTCTGGCGGTGGTAGTTGAGGTGATAGGCCGGGTTCATGAGGGTCATGACAGCGTCCATCTTGTCCTCCTCTGCGTGTATTGAAGGAGGGAGCAACATGGACAACGACAGAAGAGGGAAATTTCAGCAGTGATAAACCGTGGTTAGGTTCTGCCGACCGCGGCCGAAAGGGATACTGACGCGCGACGGCGGACTGACCGAAAGCAAAGTATCGTGCCACCTGTTTTCCAATCATGGAGCATCAGAAGGAATACATTAGACATACTGGCATCGGTTAGACTTTGGCTTTCACGTATTGTGGCCGAAGCACCGCATGTAACCACAACCTTGAAGCTGCCGTTGCGGGTGCGGGTGTGTGAATCGCTTTCGAGAAAGGGTCCTAGTGGCGAACGTAGACCGCTTATTTCTTGTGTCATCAAACACTTGACCGAGAGATTCCTGTGGTCACAGGCTACGCTGCCAAAAAAAAGGTATAATCACAGGCCAGACATTGTAGTACATCCCCTGATTCAATCTTGGTACTCCACAAAGATAAAGAAAATACACTATCCGGGGAAGACAGGACAAAAGAGATAAAAAAAAACAAAAAACAAAACCACGCAGGAAACAAGAAAAATGAACAGACACACAGAAAACAAAAGACCCGCCACAATGACAAGAGGACAGAGACAGAGCATGCAGCGCAGAAAAAGGTTTGCCGTGTGAACACGCGAATAAGCACGCAAGTGATCCGATCGCTTCCGTGAAAACACACTCACAGAGTGCTGCTGGAGGGCTCCTGGCAACACGAGGTTCACGTTCATCGTTTTTTTCGGTCACAAGACTACTGCTGTGCCCACTAGGTACATCGTTTACCTCTAGCCACGGCAATGACGTCGCAGCAAGGGATCTGGAATCTCGCGGGGAACCCGCATGTGCAGGACCACTCCGTCTTCTGCCCCGGCTCGCCCCACCTCAGCAGGACCCTGTTGCCGCGGGTGTTGAGGGTGGCGAGGTTGGTGTTCTCGACCGTGTAGAACTGGTTGCCCGTGGGGGAGGCGACGAGCCTGGAATAATGAACGTCGCGTGGCAAAGGCTTGCATGTGAGTACATGTGAATCTCGGCGGCGTGCGTGCACCTTTAAACATGTCATGGAACACCCATCCGTTGGCAACCCACCACCCGTCCGTGCAAGTACAGGAGAGTCCTCCAGGAACTAGGTTGTCTCTTCGAATCCACAAGAGGACGTACCGACCCAAACGCGGCCGTTCATTCTCCACTCTTGTCACTTACCCGGCGGACTTCTTCCTCTGAACTTCGAACGTCGCGGCAGCATAGGGTGTCCATGTGCCCTTGCCGAGGGTGGAACGGTGGGCAAACTTCTTGGCGGTATCAGCGAGGGNGTCCGTGCAAGTACAGGAGAGTCCTCCAGGAACTAGGTTGTCTCTTCGAATCCACAAGAGGACGTACCAACCCAAACGCGGCCGTTCATTCTCCACTCTTGTCACTTACCCGGCGGACTTCTTCCTCTGAACTTCGAACGTCGCGGCAGCATAGGGTGTCCATGTGCCCTTGCCGAGGGTGGAACGGTGGGCAAACTTCTTGGCGGTATCAGCGAGGGTGCTCCTCATCAGCTCCAATGGCGGTAGCTTCCTAGCCTGTGAGAAGTCACCGCCGAACAAGTTGCAACATGACCAAGCTACGTTTGGAACGAACCCAACCATGCTCGTTTACTTGCTGTGGTCGACACGGGGCGTCGCATTGGTACAAGAGAATCACCAAAACAGGGTAGGGGTGCACCCACAACTCGACCAATAATGCGCGGGAGCGCGGGGGGTGCGGTGGAGGGGTCGTGGGAGGC